TGTTTCGTGTTTTTACCCCGTTTTCCTCACAGAACGTGCCAAGGGGGGTGTTTTTGCAGGCGCTGTGCTGCAGCCCTGGGCCGAGGGCGAAGGCGCTGCAGCAGCGCCCGGCCTTGGGAGCAAGGCGGGCACCGGCCTGAGCTTGGCCGTCTGCTCCCGTTCCAGACCCTGCCCAGACAGATGGAAAAATCACTTTCTAAAACGCAGGCTGAGCGTCAGTTTAATTCTGAAGTCAAATCCAGGCGGTGGCAAATTTAGGCCGAGTAGGTGCTGCCTGTCTGAAATCTGGCCCGTGTTTGTGAAAGCTGCTGTAGCTTAGTTCTTCACCCTGGCAGGTTCACCTCCTTTTTACACTGGTACATGTCGGGGCAAGATTTAGGGTAGGTGATGTGCAACATCTCAAATCTGAATTCCAGATGGTCCAGGTATGGGGAAAAAAAAAAAGATTTTTTGTGGGGAAAAAATAGGAGCATACTGGCAATATCGTCCTTACAGACTCTGACCCCTCTTGGCTGCTCGATGTCCTGGAGCCCTGCAGGTCCTTCGGCGAGGTGGTATTAACAGCTGCACAAGGAGAAGTGAGCGTGACAGGTCTAATCAGTGCTCCCTTGGTCTAACAAATTTTTTTTAATATAAGTACGCCGTTGAGTCAGGAATGTACAGAAACTGAAAAGACAACTTAGGAAGGGCAGAAAGAAAGAACGGGAAAAAAAGAGAGAGTTGTGAAGGGGATGGGAAAAGGCTTGACTACCCCAGATGAGGGGCAGAAGGACTCTGTCCTCCCTTGGTGATGGTGACAGTGGACAACTCTGCCCAGGACAGGGTATAGCGAGAATTTGACCATGGGGAGAGGAAGAAGCTGCAACTGGAGTCATCACTGAAGGGTGGCACATCAGCGGTCCGTGGTGAGAGGCCTGCAGCTCTTACACGGGAATGAACACCTCTGACTGCGTGGTGCCTCCACCGCTTTGTAATGCTCAAAGTATGCCGCTGAAGAGGTGCTGTAGGCCACAAAAGTTTTTGGAGGGGATGAAGTCAGGCTGTATTAAGAAAAAATACATGATGCTGAGAAAATGCCCAGTATGTAATGGGGAGCTGGTATATACACTCCCCCAGGTGTCAAAAATGCACTAAAATTGAGTGGTGCTCTGATGGGAATGCAAGGTACGTGCACTGACATCCAGAACACCCTTCACCTAGGTGTCACTGAGGGGAAGACAGTGAAGAAAGCTGTTATTTCTTTACTCTTTTTTTCTTGATAAATCCTCTACGCACTGCAAAGCGTGTGTAGTATTAGGTCTCCGGCATAGCTAGAACTTTGTGTTTTGAATTTTGTTTGCAAGTTCTGCAAAGTATTGGTGGTTTTTCTGCCTCTCAAGCCTGGCTAATGGTGGAAGCAGGCATGCATGGGGCATGGCATGGGGCTGGAACCCAGGCGGCAAAGGCTCACTTCATAAATTCTCGTTGGACCTCCTGCGTGACCCTGAGCAAATCAAAGCATAGCTTTGTAGTGCAGTCAACGCCAAGCCTTCATGCATTATAAATCAGTCCTGTGAAAACAAATAGATTGCGTAAAAATATAATGAGATTTCTAAAAACAATGCCCTTGGGAGGTTTTTTACTGAATTTCCAATTTTTGAGATTTATACTATGCCTGATAACCAATATAAATGTCTTTGTTCTTCCCCAGTTTCCCAACTCAGTGCTGAGATTCTCAGTCACACAAATCTAGAAGTTGATGCTTTAAGACTAAACTGCCGAAGAGGGTAAAAGCAGCTCAGAGTCACCTCATTTCTAAAGCAAAGGGTATTTTTCTATTTTTGAGCACTGAAGTATGCTAGCAAAATGATGGTGGGGAAACAAGCCTATTAGCCTTCTCCTAGTCTTGCAGAGCTCTCCATGTCGGTTTTAGGATTTAGAGCTTGTTTCAGTCTCAGTTATTATAGTGCGTATATGCATTGGTGAGTCTTTTTGAAACAGAAGGTTTTTGTCTGTCATTTGAAACATTGATTGCTTGAGCTTTTGTTCTCTCTGCAAATAAATTAGACCTCCGTACAGGTTCCCACTCCCTTCCTTGTATTCAGGTATTGTAGTTGTGGGCAGTGCATTTGTTGCCTGAGTGTTTTGAGCTACACAGGGAAAGTTTTGGAAAATAAGTATATAGGCCTTTTAGCATAAAGACATGCTAAAAAACTCAGTGAAAGGTTTGAGAATAACAAACAATTATGAATCCTAAATTTCTTGATTAAGATCAGTTATCAGGCTTATATTATATCCGTGCTATAAATATGATTTTCCCCTTTTAAAGGGGATAAATCAAGATACCCAGCACTACTTAGTGGTTTAGTAAACTACCCAACCTCATAGCACATATCTTGGACAGAGGTTCAAGCCAAGACTGACTTTTCCTTTCCTATCCTTTGGGAAGAGAAACAGAGTAATGTGACCTTTTCTGGAGAATGTAACAGCAAACAAGAAAAATAACTCTGCTACTTTCTAATTCAAAAGTTCACCCAGTTATGGATTTCTATATAGTTGCTCTAGTCTATGGAGTCTAGCATTTTCCACTATCTAGGCTATATTTTTTTGAGCAGTCTGCCTTCTATCTATAGCAACCTCATAGTTTCATTAAAACTGTATTAAATAATACAGAGGATTTCTCTAAGAATATATAAAATGGTTCTTCAAAGAGTCAAGGTTCACTTGTAGCTTCATTTGAGATACCATAGTATCTTTACGTACCAGAATGAGAGTCATGTTATGTTGCCTATTGTTGGCAGTGGGTAAATAGTACCATCTGGGTGGCAACCAGTCCAGATCTTGCCCTCCTGAACGTCTTGACTTCTCTTGGTTTTATGTGTGAAATAACAGATTTTAGCTTTAGCCAAGGTTGTTCTAAGATACTTGGAGACCCTCCCTCCGTCCAAACATCAAAATCAGCTGTCTCGCTCTGCGAGATTGTGTACAGGCTCCTTAAATGACAAGGTTCAGTGCAAACGCAATGTAAGAAATATCATGGGAAGACAAAAGTTGCTTGAAAGTGTCTCCCTGTGCCGTCCTGGTGTGGTGGCTGCAAACCAAATTCTCTGTGGTATGTATCGCTACAATTCGCTACAGCCTGATCTTGTAAAGAGAACCATAGGTGTACCTTAACACTTAGGTATATCCTGTTGACTCTGCTGGGCTTCGTAGGATTTTATTTATATTTAGGATTAAGTCCCAATAGTTTACATTTTTTTTTGTCCCTGTAAAGATCCGGGGACTGAGCTTGCTGTTTATGCTGGTAAACGTTATTGGGTTAACATCAGGAATCGACAGCACAGAAACTTTCCAGATCAAGATGGCTTTGGAATTACCTGCTTGTCTTTGCTCAGTCAGTGACACAAAGTGTTCTCTGAGTCTGGTGTTTGCCTCTCTATGGATTTGTAAATGCACTGGGATCCTTTTTCTTCTTTTACTTTCTGTTACTAATGGAAGAGAGAGCATCATTCTGGATCTTATACCTTCTTTTTCACTTAGCGTGTATAGTTCCTTATGTTCAAATTCAGCTTAAATATTTATTCGAATGTCCTTTAGGTTTTCCAGTACAGAACAGTCAGAGATATATATCTGGACTAACCGAAATCTCTCATCAAAGCACATGCCTTTTTGTCAAGGGATTAAGTCTCTTCTTTTACTGTAGGCTGCTGTGTAACTCTCAGACCAAGGTCAGAGGCAGCTTCTAGACATCAATTTTGACTCCTTCAGGAGGGCTAAAAGAAGCTGGATTCTTCTGACATTCCCTTCAGGAGTCTGTGATAGCTCACAGTGATAGAAAGTCACAGTTGTATTAACAACACTTTGTGCGTTCATTCCTCAGAAGGCCTAAAGGCTTACAAGCTGTACCTGTTACAGCTTTGCAAGCCGTCCTCCTCTGTGCATACTCTGTTTTCAGCTGGGAGAAGTCTGTCCTCCTCCCAGCATCTGTCTCCGATTCTCTGCATGAGTGACTCCACTCCCTATTCTAGTAAACCCAAATAATTTGCCCTTTTCCAGCCTCTGAACTTGTATGTGCTTTGAGCAAACTGCTCTGCCGCAGAGTGCATGAAGCCAGTTATTTTCACATGGTCTCTTTAATTTAAGTGAAGTGAAGTAACTGTTTTCTTTTTCTTGAACAACTTCTTTAGTTTCTTTGGATTAATTCTCTCTATTCAAGCAGGAAGTTAAACAATCTCAAACTGAAGAAAATTAATCACGTAATATGCATAAAAGACAAACTGGGGAAATGCTTGTTATCACATTAACTTCTTACCTGTGTCCTTCATGTGCGTTACTCAAGTATCACAGAGAACAAACCAGCTTGGAATTTATTTCTAGATATGCATTCTTATTCTCTTTCTTCTGTGCCTTTTATTTTAGTGAAAGAAAAAAAAACCCAATGTTTGTATAATATTATTGCAAAACATCTCTGTGGAGTAGTTAATTCTCATATATGGTTAACAGTTCTATTGCTATTTATCTTACTAAAAGTACTTCACCTAAAGTGTTTAAGGTATGCTTCAGCTGATGCTGAAGATAACTGTATACAGTTAATAATCAGCTTATGAATTGTGTCCTCCTAAAAAGGATCTTTGTGGCTGATTGAAGTGGACCTTGACTTGTTTTGTGAAAAAAACAAAGTATTCATTGGCATTCTTGGCTGTTTTAGTTCTCCTGACCACAGCTCTAGATGACTTCTAGCTGCTGTAGTGGATCCCACTTTTCTTTTTATCCAGTTCCCAACACATGTTTATATAGGCTCTTTCTTTTTTTCATAACTGCAAAGGGGTTAATAAGGTTTACGTAAGTGAAATCTTGATTCATTTCAGTGAGCAGGAGCTTTGATACGGAATAAGCTCAAGATTTAAAAGGAGAGATCATTTCTTTAGCATTCAGATTAGAATTACAGAAACTCTTATTCTTTCATAGTCCCTTTGATACCAGCAAGAACTTAACTGCAGTGAAACTACTTATATTTTTAACACTAAGGGTACAGATAAGTTTTTTTTATAGAATTTGGCCTGTGACTTATTAGTATAAAATAAACAATTGGTGTAAAATAAACAAACTAATTGCAAACAGGTATCCCACCTGCCAGAGACAGCTCCTCTCTGAGATGAAACCCATCAGTATAACTCATGGTTGGGGTCTAGTTCAATCAAAAAGCAAGAGAAATTTAATAGAATTTGAAATAACAAAAGGGATTCTGAAAATTGACAAGTGGCATGCTCTTGAATACCATATATTTAAGCGCTACATTTTTTTCTCATAAAACTATTACAAATAATCGTCTGGAACTCTTTTCCTCCTGAATGCTCCTTTGGGGAATTCAGCAGTGCAGTGCAGAAACAAACCTGACAGATGCCTTCCTCTCTGGGGTTCCTTTGCATCAAGTTTCTGTCAGAGTAACTGTGTCTTGTTTCATCAGGAATTTAGTTAAGGACTCCTTAAAAGTACTGTTGCGGTTTAACTTGTTCCATTTCTTCCTACAGAAATGTAGGACAGCAATCCTGATGGCTTCTAGACTGCTGGTTGCTGCTATGAGATGTGAGAATATGAGGTCTTCAGTACTGAGCACATGTGCCAGTGTGTTCATGTTTGGCTATGTTGCCACCTTGAATTGTTTCTGCCTCCTGCTTCTCTGGTAGCTGTTAGGGTGGAGTGGCTGAATCTGGTAGCCTGACAGAGGTGAAGCAGCCACAGCTCCGTGCTCCCAGGTCTGACCAGTAGCGAGGCTGAGAATGTATTCCCAGTAGGCAAGTACAAACACATGTGTACAACACATACATTCATTACATGCACAGCTGGCCACACAGATCATCCCAGACAGACACGCACAGCACTCACACAAACAGCACCAACGGCCTCATCCTGGTCCCCTTGCTGGCTGATCAGGATGAAGGTCCCTGAGTGGGAGATATATATAAGTTTGTACAATGTGGATCCCTCCAGTCGCTGGGCTTAGACACTTAGTGTAGCCAGTAGCTGCCCCAGGATCCCTGGTCTCCCCAGTTACTGGCAACTGGACATACAAGCCCCCAGGATCTGCCGCCCCACTCCAGTTGCTGGTACAGCGTCTCCTCCTCCCCTCCCCATACACAGATACACACACGCACACGGCTCTCAATCAACCCCTAGGCCCTACAGTTTCTCTAACAGTTGGCTGAGACCCCCCCGGTCCCTCCAGTAGCCAACTTGTTCTGTGGTCTCACTCTTAAAGACACACACATACCTGACCCCCAGGCCACTTAACCTACTCTCTGGCTGGGCCAGCTTGATATTCACAAGCCATCAGGCACTGACTTACACACCCTCGCTCGCTCCAGTTGCTGGCACCCCAGACACACAGGCCCTCTGACCTGTGGTCCCACTCCACCTGTGGTCATTCAGGTCCTTACTTGCTCCAGTTGTTGGCATCACAGACACACGGGCCCTGTGACCTGTGGTCTGACTCCAGTTGCTGGCACTGAGACTGACACAGACACAGGCACGCACACACACACACTTATGCACGTGGAATAGACAGTCCCTCATGCAGGAAAAATAGAATAGAAAAGGAGTTTGATACGAAGATAGGATAGATTGTGCTAATCAGGCGCAGGACATGGCCAGAGAAGTGTACTGACCAGCCCCCTTATTACACGTAACTGGCCCTTTTTATCCCCTTATCCCTCTAGTTTCCCATGTTTGTTCCTCCTCAAATCACCTAGATCCCCTTCTCCCTTTCTCCCCTTTGGTGCCTCCTCTAAGCATCCTGCAATAAGTACAATCTGGAAATGCTCTTCTCCTGCATCCCGCAGTGTGTCCCATACCCCTAGGCAGTAACTCCCTCGGTCGGAAGGGTTCTTTGGAGTGCTGCCCCCGTTGGCTCTCTTGCTGGGTTTCACACCTGGGCCATGGGGCTGGTCTTCACCTGGGTCAGCCCTGGGAGGAGTCGGACAGGGTGTCTGTCTCTCTGAGTAGGTAACTTGGGTTTCTGCACTTGTGCCTCTGTGCTCCTCCGCACTTGTGGGATGAGCCCTTGATAGGCTAATCGCTCTCCTGTGATGGGCCTGGGAGTGGCCGGGGCAGGGTATTATTCAGGTTCCCCCGCCTGGCATTGTCCCTCTGTGCTCCTCTGTATGTGCAGACAAGGTTTATTTATTTATTTATTTATTTACCTAACAGTAGCCACCTTCTGTCCTTCTAACTTGGGCTATGTCATTCCTTACTTAGATACTGTGCAGATGAGCTTTTTATCACATAACCTAACAGTAACCACCCTCTGCTCTTCTAACTTTGGCCATGTCATTCCTTGTTTAGATACCTTCATGAGCTTCCTTCATTTTCTGTTTCAGTGTCACAGCTTTCTAAGTATAGCTGCATAATGCATGCTTTCATCCCTTTATTTTCCTCACATTCCCCTTTAGTTGCCTGTATACCTTTCAAACCTTACCAAACAATACCTATATCTTTCAAAATTTGTGTGAAACTCCAGCACTCTTTTCCTAGGTGCACAAGGAAGAGCTGTATATTGCAGTTCTATGTCATTCAGATATGGCTCAGTATCTTTTTTATATGTGTTCAGCCATACAAAGAACATTTTATTTGCTGGAATATTTGTTATCAGAGCTCTCCAAAACCATTGTGTGCAGATTAAGCACACAGTATTGAGGAGCAGCGATATTTTTCAACTTACTGTTATATGGAGGACTGAATTTTCAATGATCAGCCTTCAAAACTGGCTTGGCATTTTAGAGCATTACAAGCTCTGGCACCAACACTTGAGTGTAAAAGGAGTCGTTTCCATTCTAATAACTGTTCCTGAAGTTCAGCTGTTTAGACAGAAGAAGGGTCATGGGAGCTGTAGAAAACTGAGCCAAATAAGCAGATGGCATCTTCTTGTCCAGCTGAAAGAACTACTTTTCCTGTGAAAGAGTCAGATAGACAATTTCAGAGCTAGAAAAAAATGTATATCACCTGCTACATTTGAGATCTTCCCAGCGGGCATTCACAGAGAAATCTGGCAATGAAGGAGAGACTCCAGCTCAGTTAGAAGAACTCCACAAGCCAAGTGCTAATTTCAGTTGATATTTTGTTATCCTTACTAGCTATGAGGAATTCAGATGAAGAAAGTTGAAGTAGCAGTGGCTGAACATCTGCTCAAGAGAAATGATCCCCACAGGACAATAATTATAGAGGAAGATTAGATTGCACCAGTTCCAAGAATGAGAGTGATTCTTACCATTTTGTTACTTTATAGCATGACATTATAGTATAGCATTTAGTATATTATATAAAAATATTTAGTATATTATATTTAATATATTATATTATTATTAGTATTATCATATTTAGTATATTATAGTATAACATTTTGTTACTTTATAGTATCTCAGGAGCCAAAGGAAAAGACGTGTTCCTTGCCTGAAATGCACACAATCCAAGCAGAGACATGCTGTGAAGAAAGGAAAAAGGAGAAGTTAGACAACAGAGCAAGAAATACTGAGCTTGCAGGTACAAGATAACAAGTGAGTGTGAGCTGTAGGAGGGATGATAAAGTAAGTTTCTTTGCTATAGTTGGGATCAAAAACAAGAGGACAGGCAGGCAAACCTGCTCTTGCTGGTGGCTGGTGGGAACCTGCTGTTGTACCCAGTTGTCGCTGTTAAGAGTCTTGCTTCTGCAAGATGGGTTACCAACAAAGAGGAAATGAGCATATTTGGCAAGAAAATTATTTCCTGGGGAAAAGAAAAGTGATTCAATGAAAAGAATGGTTCTGCATAGCATTAAATGTAGCATGATTAGTGGTGAGCACCACAGATGACAAATCTACCAGCCAAAAAATATAAATAAATGTAAATTTAAATGTGAGCCACTTAAACATTTCTATTTGTTTTTCCTAGATAGCATCCAAAATAAAAACTGTTCAGGAAAGACAGAGAAGTAAAGTGAACAATCCAGAATCTGCTGCACTTGGGAGTGAGTAGCAAGATCCAAACATGGCTGTTTTCTGCTACAGAGTTGGGAAGAAGATACACAAAAGGAAAAGGACGAAATCTTCAGGGTACCCAAAATAAGATCTGAATGTCCATGTATTTTCACCTGTGCCAGAGGACATGTTCCTGAAGATGTAGTTGCTGAACATCCTTACTGTAACACAGCAACAGAGCCTGAGCTGGAAAGGTGCTGCTGCCTTCATACCTCCATTCAAACGACATTGGTGATCTGCCCAGTTAAGCAAAGCAATAACAAATCTAATTTCTCTAGTATCATCTTAAGTGGCCCATATCTGTAAGCATTTATTAC